ATACGAGGGATACGTTCCCATGCCCAAACCTACAGATATCGACATAAAATATTTGGTTAATATATATTAGGATAAAGTATAATAAAAAATAAATGAAGTAATAACAAGTAAGTACATTTATTTACCTGAATCAATTGAACACAGTTCTTGATCCAGATTTCACCGGCTCTGGCGGTCAAGGTGAGCCCTCTATAAACCCCGGCCAGGACAGCTGAACCCCAGCTGTACTGCTTGATCTGATCGATCTCGAGCAAGTGCTGCATCCAGAACAGCATGACCCCATTCGCTCTCTGATCGGGGAAAAACGACCCGATACACCAGAGTATAAGCGCCCTCGCCCTCTCTTCGTAGCGAGAGAGAGGCTCTTCATCTGTTAGCCGTTAGCACTCCTTTTCAATTGTCGAGATCTTCAAAAACTGGCCTGTAAGTTCCGGGGTGCCCTCCGGGTTGTCATCAGTCTGAGAGTGTTATATATATATTTAAAATTAATGAATGGAATAAAAAAAAAAAAAAAAAACAAATGTAGGAAAAAAATTACCGTGAGTGAGTGCTCGAACCCTAGATATTCGACACAGTATTCTTGCCATTGGTGGGGTTCGAACTCAAATGTTTCTCCCCAACACGGCGTTCCATCGATCGGGAGACCAAAAAAGACTTGTACGTCCTGCAGCGTTATTGTAGCCTCCCCGAAGTCAAAGTGGAAGGTGTTCGTCTCCGGACGCCACCTCTCCATTAGACATGTAATCAAGCTGTTTTCCGTGGATATTCTGCCCATTCTGAAAACCGGCCCGAAACCGGTCCTTTCGATCACCTCCCATACTTTGTAATGTTGTACCGCCAACGCCTTCCAAAACTCACTGTCGAAACGGCGGGTTTTAATCGCGTCGTGACTATATCCCTCCACATCGTTGCATACAGCTTCCGACCGGTGGTTGTCCTGAAGGTAAAGAAGGGACCGATCCATCGGATCGGGATGGACGGTGTAGCGTTGCGGCTGTAACGAGGATGCCATTTTCTACAAAAATTAAAAAAAAAAATCATTACATATAAGAAATGAATGCTTAATTTAGAACAAAAAAAAAATAGACGTAACATCAAACAATTGTGTACAACAATCGAAACGAACCGTTTCGATAAAAAACAGGGCTAACATAATCGAAACAAACCGTTCAAACCATCCAACTACAAGCAATTATGTACAACAATCCATTTGAGGCATTTTATCGAACACCTTCAATTCATAGTTTTCCAAACAAACTACAAAACTCTAATAAATTTCAAAATAACCCATCAGTTTATCACACAAACATATCAACAATTCATCAACATATCTCATTCATTACAAATTCACAAATTAAATATCAAAACAAATGAAAAATAGAAATGGTAGAGGATCCCAGATTGGGGACTCGAACCCGGGTCAATGGGTGAGTCCCCAATCTGGGATCCTCTATTTTTCATTTGTTTTGATATTTAATTTGTGAATTTGTAATGAATGAGATATGTAGATGAATTGTTGATATGTTTGTGTTATAAATTGATGGGTTATTTTGAAATTTATTAGAGTTTTGTAGTTTGTTTGGAAAACTATGAATTGAAGGTGTTCGATAAAATGCCTCAAATGGATTGTTGTACATAATTGC